CTTAACTACCATTCAACCTTAATACCATCGGATCAAAAAGTGTATTCAGGGTATATAACTGAGTGGGTTGGTTCTGATGGAGTAATAGGATTGGCGCAAAAGGTTAGTCAATAACCAACGCGACGTTTTATGCGAATTATTGTTTTCATTCATTTGTACCCTTGAGAACTTTATTCCCCATTTCACCCTAAGGACTCCCCCAGTATTTTTCGACAAACGGTAATTAACAGTGATCGATTTAGAGATGAAAGGTCAGTTTGCAAAGTCTTCCTCCTGTATTCCTCCAAATTCTTTAACCCATCCCTGAAGCTGCCGTCCCATGATGCTCTTTGATATTTCAGTTTGTGATAAATTCAAAACATAGACAATGTCATCTTGGAGCCGAAATTTGAAATCCGATTTCGACCTCCCTGACTCTTCCCTTTCGAATAAACACCTTCAACGCACTTGATAAGAATGCCCTACAGCAAAAAAAATGTTGATCATTAATCAGACTACGCTTTTATAATCCTTTGTGTGCCTGCAGAAAATAAGCGGCGATGGGTCATGCAATTTTATCTGGTCTCAAAAACTCAGTACAGCAAGCAGATCTTGAGAAGCTTTGGGTAAATCACTTTTTAAAAACATCTCGATTAGGGTTAGGGTTGTTCGAGGGGTGGATTGCGCCGCACGTTTTGTTAAGACTTATGCGCTCTACGAACAACTAAGCCCCTCTCTAATTTTCCTTGTCCTTGATAATAATGGTATGAATTTATTGCTTTTCCCGCCCTTGATTTTGAAGTATTGGACCCATACTACAACCACTAGCTTGAATCACACGTAACTCGAAATGATTCGCGCGAACATTTGTGAACACTGATACTGGTAAAACTTTGCCCTAGGTTGACGGAAAATTTATTTTTCTGATACGGCAGTCTAATAAAATTTAGGAAGAAATAGGTGAAGAAGAATTGTCTTTTAGAGGTGAAGTGGCGAAGGAGGAGGATTTCATTGAAAATCTAAAAGATATCAACTGTATTCAAATTATATTGTATTGATTGAACTGATAAGCGATCGAGGATTGCAAACTGAGATTACTGCGAATGATAAACTCAAAATTAGCTTGTTCAATTCCTCTTTTGGGATTTATCTTTACACCCAAAAAATCTCACAAAACTGTCTTCACCTACAGACTTTAAATAAATCACTTACACTTAAGTTACTTGACTGGTTCAAGCCTCTCTTGTTGTGGCATGTTCCAATCACACTGCAGCAGCGTTCGACACCGCAATCCGTGTCCGCGTCACATTTCTAAGATAAGTCGGAAAAGAAGAACAAAAAAAGAGAAAAAAAGGAAGAGTGAAGATGTTTATATCATCAAAGAGCAGATTTATGAAAAATTTAAATTTCTGGTACGTTTGAATTCAGACATTTTGCACTTTTGATTATTTTCGCATCAGATCGTAATGGCGCTTAATGCGGTGGGTTTATGTCACAATCGGTTTCTCACGGTTCCCTCGAGTTCCCTGACAATCAAAGGAAGAAACGTTGACGAGTGTATCAAGCTAGTTTTCGAGTGGTGATCTATTTTAACATGAAAACCCTAAATATCCCTGTGATCAGCAAAAAGAGTTTGAAAGAAGAGAAAATGGTGTTTTTTGGCAGGATTTTGTATGGAGGCAGTAAAATAAAAACTGCTCACCCCGAATATAAATCGCTTTTCTCGCAACTGTATTTTTTTGGTTTAATATATTTCCAACAACAAAAAAGCGTGAGTTGACCAAATTTTAGCCTCCATCATCTATTGCATAGCTAAATCTTATTTCTTTGATATTTTCCATAAGTTTTATTAGAATCAAACTACGACAACTGGAACAAACTTTATTGTCTGTGGTCAACGATTTTTCTGCTTTATTATGTAAGCAAAAGCAATGTCATAATTTTTAAAATTGTAACTAAGTCTTTATGATCGAACGTCCCTGTCTTCATCTTCAGTGTTCCAGCGATGCAGACTGTGCGGCGCTTCAGTGCTGTTTCCAAAAAATTGGTTATACCAAGTGCTTGGCCAAGAAGGGAGAGGGCAGGATCTGTCATCCTTCCTCTGTAAGTAAACCCCTTCTGTCAGTCAACGAGTATGTAGCTTTTCACACTCGATTGTGTTGTCGGTTTATCTTTTGGCAGGTGGAAAATAATTGTTTGTAGATTCGGATCTAAAACATTTCTCCTCAACAGGAGATTGATTAAAAAGATACTACCAGTTCGACTTGTTGGTAAGGTAGTCCTTTAGAATACGGTTAATGATAACTGTAGAAATCTTAAGATAACGTTTTAATTATGACCATTATTCGAACGGGGATTCCAAAGTAAGATGATTATCTTTATATCACTGGGCAAGTGTTTAAATTAGGCCAAATTTTGATGATAACGCAACAAAAAAAAATGCAAAAGAACGATACCCTAAGAGAGTTGCCTAAAGAACTATCTTTAATGGGCCATCGGCCAAATTATGGTGTGTCCCGCCAAGTTTTTCTTGCAGTTCAAAGATAGAGTATTCACTGGTAAGTGGTTGGAACTCTTATTGCATCGGTTAGATTTCTTTCAAAACACTCTTCCACGTCCTTTTCGAAAGGTAGTAAAAAAAAACAGAAAATATCATTCCAACACGTTGAGATTGGTTAAATCAGAAACTACTCTCTCACGCCTGAAAAAGCTTTAAATGACATAGTTACAGTTCTTTTTAGCATGTTTGTGTTCTCCTTTAAACAGAAATGCTTTAGGAAATGCCAAGACGGACTGGAATGTCAACGGAGTTTCGGAATCGGTTGTTTTGCTGTCTACAAATGCGCTCAACCAATGGAACCAGGTTCTAGCGATGTTGATATGTGAATTGCTAGCACAGGATTTGTGACTTTTTAACCAATAAACGACTTGTTAAATCTTAAATAAACAGTCATAAAGAAAATGGATCGTGTATCTTCTCTTCGTCGAACTCGTCACACATCTAGTGCATTGTGGGAAATTCAAGAAAATGAGCATCATTCCAGTTGTGGTGTTCCTCCTCGACACCAGTCTCCAGAGGATCAGTAATTTGTGACGGGTGATTCATGTTGGTGTATCGTATACCCGGATATTGTGTAGGACATATAACTAAGAGTCGCCCATCTCAGGCTTTAACCCTGTAATGTTTATCCAGAAACGTGTGTTATGTCAATAATAACCTTGGAATGGGGTGTAAGGCAAATATCGTAATTGTCGAAGAAAATTAGGCCTCCTCTGCAACACATAAACGATCATCGCAGGTGCTTGGCTATAAACGCTCCGGGTGTACCACTGAGTTTTGCTCTAACGTCATTAATATGAAGAGCTTTTAAAAAAATGGGACACTTTAAAAGTTACCGGAACGCGGTGATATGCAGGTTCTGGCACCGTAGCCGGTACATTTTGTTTCTCTAGCAGATAGCTTTATTAAAGAATTTTCAAAACTTTTGAAGCCTCCATCTTGAGATCTTGAGTGAAAGCAGAACAGTCTCGTCTGAGTTGCTGTTGTTACTTTATTTTGTTGTTGTTATTTTTGTTCTTTTGCAGTAGAATTTAGTTGCTAAGATAGTTTTCAGCAATTTTAGTGCCGTCTTTCACTCACAGAATGAAAATGTCACTACAACTTGATATCTAAACGAAACGCAAAAGAGAGATATCAACCAAACGGGGAATCAGCTGAGAAGACACAAACAAAAGGAAGTGAACAAACAGCCTTAAAGTATGTCCTTCTCCAGAATATCTAACATTAGTGCATACCACACAAGTGAATAGTGCTTTTTGCGGGTGCTGATTGGCTAATTCGGAAGCGGTAAGCAACTACTATCCACCTCCACTTCGGTGAATAATTGTTAACCGTATTCATTTACAATACGTTGAATTTTCGGAGATATCATTTTTAATGGACTCTCTACTAGACAAGTCATTTAGTTTGGCAATGGTTAACTAGATGAGGAGCACGAAGAGTTTATTTACAATCAAGCCGACATGGTGTTCATTTCAATTACATTGTTACTAAGAGGGGGCCCAACTATTTTCTTATACAGCGTATAAAAATTCAGGCATACTACACTTTTAAATCTGGAAATCAGTCCTTCACTGGAAGCAGTGTCATCGCCTGTTTCGGATTGTTCTATATTTTCCTCAGGTTCTTCTTCATTTTTCATGATGGCCCCACGACACATGGGGCATGTGTAACTGAAATCGAAAAGCATGTCACGTCAGTCATCCAACCATTTTGCTCTATATCTTGGGTCAAGAGAGCTCACAAAAATCAGAGCGCGTAATGATTAACAGATCGTCTGAGTTATCACAGTCATTCAACTACGCGTTTTTCATGCAGATCAGTAATCAATAAACTCAGAAATTGAGAAAACAATAGTTATTTAACTCAGATTGTTTGTAGTTTTTCCCATCAAAATCTTATGCATAATATATCGAGCGTTATAGCTTTCTTGTTTATGATGGATTTGTCTGCTACAAGGTTGCTATATAGAAATCCTATCTACCACTTTTCTTTCTTTTGCGAAATAAAATGCTGATGATTAGGATGTATTGTAGCGGTATCAATACAATGAATTCGCAAGTATCGGTCGAGATAGTAAGATGGAACTTATTATACAGACCCAAGTGTGTTTCGATACTATTCATTATAAACGCAATTGACTTAACAGGCAGCTGTTTTCTTAAAGTAAGCAGGTTTACTAACATCATGATGCCGGTAGATTGTTTCGCCCTGGGAAAAAGCCCGATCTTTTCCTACCTTCCTGAGAGAATAAGCTTTACACCACAATCCTCATGTATCATATGAAAGCAAGGAAGAATGACTGCTCCTGAAAAAACTTCCTGGGAGGAACAAAGCAAAACTTGAGTTAAAATTAAAAAATATCCACAACGGAGTGGGCAAATATTCTTGTTAGATTTAGTTAGACAATTTACAAACTGAATCTAATCTAAATATATCTATATTCATTTTTCGTGAGAACAGGAAGAAGAACTTCAATACATACAAACACCAAGAAAGTTGGCATTGAGTCAAGATAGATCACAGATGATGTTAAAATGTGGTAAAAACATTTGTTCTATTATTAAAAAGACCCACAGTAAAATAGAATCTATTTTTTTATATAATAGAGAAGCAAAAAGTTGTTGGTGGTGATGTCATTTATGCGTCTGTACTCCAATAAACCATACAAGTAAGAAGCAATCAAAATGGTCATTCAGATCATTAGTTGAGGATATGTATTCATGATGGTTTTTATGAAATGATAGCCCCTCTGAATGCAATAGACTTTCAATTACTTGAATTTTGTTTAAGGTTATCCTTGGAGTCAAAGTGGAAATTAAAGAAAAATTGATTCAAACGGTCAATCAATCACTTAAACAATATTCCAAGTTTTCGCAAATAAGCGATTGTATTAAAAGAAATGTCACCTACCTCCAAGCATATTGCACAAGGATCGTGACCTCTATTGTCAAAACACTTATGATCCTTCAGAGACAGTGGCATACAAACATTACACGTGTTGCAATGGAAGTTTTCTTCCTTGTTTAACCTTCAAAGATTGGAAACAGAGATAGTGACTAATTCAAGGGATGCATCGTCCTCTAACAATAAGTTAAATGGCTAGACGTCATTAAACATAGAAACATATTATGCTAGCAATGGAAGAGGAGTTAAAGGGAGATGAGACTAAAGATGACATGACAACATCTGCGAAGATGATGATGATAATGAAGGTGATAATGATAAAGGGTGTTAGCAATGGTTGTAACGATGATGACGATGTTGGTGAAAACTAATCTGGTGAAGATAGTTGGAAAAGAAAGAGAAGAGGAAGGAAGGAGTGAAGAAGACCTAACGAGGACCGACAAGAAGGACTGGTGCCAAAGGCAACAACGACAAAAAGACTCACAACAAAAAACATAAAAAGGCAAGTAAAAGGAAGATAAGGACAAAAGAGGAAAGCAAGTCATTCAACATGAAAAGAAGACAGAGAAGGGATGAAGACAACATAGAAGACAGGAAGAGGGGTACAATAATGTTACGATGGTGGTGGATATTTCGATACGTATCCGTACAGACGAAAATCTGATTGATGGAAATATATATCAAAGAGAATTGGGTAAACTTAATTACCTGCATACCCCGCACGGACCACAGTGGTAAGGGTCTAGTTTAACACTTCCACTACTTTCGATCAAAAGTTTACATTCTGGACAGAAGTAACTGGAAAATGTTTTCCCGCACGACCCATTTTCACACTTCTGACAAAACTGTAAGAAAAATTGTGTTGGTATCAATACCTTAGATAAAGCAAACAACCAGAACAAATAATTTTACAGTGTCAAAGTGAAAATCTAGTAAAGTTGATGGCCTGATAATAGGATTACAATTTCACGTTATATATCTCAAAAAATTTTCACAAAAATAAAAAAGGGCCGTAACAAGAGGGGATAAATTGCTTTATTACAGAGATCACCTTTGACTGTATGTGGTCACATGCTATACACTTTAGGCGACCTCCGTCTCGTGATGTAACTAGCACATGCTCCTTTATAGTGACCGATGAGAGTTGTAAATTATCTTCATCATTTCCTTGCATCATACTTTTTCTGACGCGCATCTCTTCATTATTCTTCAATTGATTTGATGATCCATTGGTAGTATTTAGATTTTCTTCCTCTATGTCACCAGTCGATGCTTCATCTTTTAAACCTAAGTATTTTATTATATGATTGTCTTAAGATATCAAATATACAATAACAGAGCAGTCTGTACTGTGCAAGAAATCATGACTTCTAGAGTACACGGTGAAATGATAAAAACAAATGTATCACTGACTCCATTATCAGTTTCTTGTTTTGTTTTGTCTGTTTTGCCTTGTTATTTATAATTTTTTGTGGCTTTTTTGTTTGTTCATTTGTTTTGTGAGTTGAAAGTACACTTAATCTGAAGATTCAGAGTATATCTCAACAGTTCTGTTATAATAGATATACCTAATGTGGATATACTTATAATATTCAATTCCCAAAGTTAGAAATTTTTCACCTATCTGAGGTCAGATTTTTTCCCAATAATATATCAAAATGTGCTCTAAGTTTATTTGAAAACAGGAGTCACGAGGGAATGAAAGGAGTCAACCTCTATTTAAGGTTATGTATAAACCTTCGTGTTCTCTGGCACCTTCTGCTGCTTGGCCAGAAGATATCGCACTGGAAATGCTTGTTTCTCCATTGAGTTGTGACAAGTTTTCCTCTATGTTAAACGAAGTTCCCTCTGCGTTACCCTTCATGTTATGTAAGAAATAAGAACATTATTATACTTAGAGCATTACCAGTAAACTAATTTAACAACCGTGCTGACCAAGTGTTGATTAGTCAAACTGATTCCTAGTGGTGGGACATTTTGATTTCTTAAGCTTGGATGTGCAGCCTAGGATATCTGAAGGTAAAGAGATTATAGCCATTTATTTTCGGGGAGGGGGCCGGGGGACATTAAGAAGTGGGGAGGAGGGAAAGAACACCATAAAAATTTGAGAATTTTTGAAACGATTAACCATGAAAATAAACTTTACCATAAACACCGGTGAAATAAGCAAGATACATTCACATTCTTGCTCATACGTAAAAACTACCACTCCAGTTCAGATTTAACCCCTAGCCATAAAGAATCGGGGAGACGCCCTTCAACATCAATCTTGAACATGTATTGTGTTAATCTATTCATAATTTCAGAAGTATATAACCAAGTGTTAAGTTATACGCGTCCAATTATGCAGATAGGTTGTTCCAAGTAACTTAATAGCTCCTTTAAATGGCATTCAATTATTCAAATTTACCTTTCCTTTTACTCCCCAAGGAGTGGTGTTTTGTTGAGTTTGTTTGTTTTCTCTGCTCACTGAATATTCTGCCATTCCTGACGAAACCCTGTCGTTCCCATTTTGCAAGGATTCGTAGTCAGTGGCTGTTTCGGTGTTTTCGCCATTGGGTGCATCTGAAGTTTTAGCTCTTAATTCCATTTTGGTATCATCAAATGGAACACTACATGGAGTAGCTATAGTCGACAAAAGAAGTGAGATATTAAATAAGTTATCCGAAAAAAACGAGTAAGGTTCAAAACTGTTATACAGTCTTTAAGTAAACTTATACCTTCGAGCTCATAGCTAATTCCAGTGGCATTTGAACTGCCTTCTCCCAAATCGTCTCCTTCCTCTACTATATCACTCTCCCCGAAATTATATTTTGAATTATCCACTTTTGGTTTGTCATTCTCTTGCTTTTTCAAGGCGTCATTGTGGCATTTGTGGCAAGGATACCACTCACTGCAGCATGCGAAGTGAATCAGACAAGTGTTCCGCTGGAAATGTGGGCAATTGAAAGACTCCCTAAGAGGAAATATGGGAATGAACAAAGTTAATATTAGGGAATATTTCCTTACGAAGAGGCAACAACTAAAAGCAGAAAAAATAACTGAACACTAAGAAAATATTAATTGCGCTAGTTTTGCCGCTTTCTTAAACTTGGACAAGTCAAATTTGATTGCTTCAAGAAAACATGTACCCATGTACTATTGATCGCCTCTAACAAATGATTTATGTACTCAAAAACATACGCTTAATCTTTGAATGTTTTCGTTAAAAGACTGAACAGTGCGTTTCATTGAAACGCGCTGTTTAAAATTACAGCAATATAAATTATCATCGTAAATGAAATTTCAACTGAACCTTTCTAGAGTGTTTGTCAAAGCAAACTTGGACTACCTGACGTGAGACTCAGGCTCTCCGTGTGTTTTCATCATACAGCTCTTTTCTCCTCGTTTCTTGCGACAGATTTGTAGACCACTTTAAAAGACAACGAGAAAGTAAGGCGATGGACTTCGAACGACGGTTATTTACAATCAATTAAACTCGGAACTTTCCCGGAAAAAAGGGACTTTCCCGAAGGGGAATTTCCCCAATCGACAACTTTCTGTTTTGTAGACTGCTGAACTGAGCTCATTAATTACTTCTGATTCTGTGTAATACCCAGATGACTCCTAAGCATACTCCGTTTTGTTTTCTTCAAAAGACGAACAAATTTATATCTGGTTTGATCTTTTTCGTCTTCCCAAAAGAAGAAATGCTGAGATCGCCTTCCTACATGAAAGGGAAAATCCCAAGTTCTGTTGTTTACGGAAGTGAGTCATTAATTCGAGCTGGTTTGCAGCCAACCCAAGATTATTCATTGTTATGTTCTCGAGAACATGAACAGACGTATTTCTCGTTTAGCTAGTTATCACCTTTTCGGATCAAGAACTGCTGAACTCGGCTTCACAAGTGAAAGGAAAAACGGGAAATTCCCCAACGGTGAAAAGAAGCTTTTGGAGAAAATGCTTCAATAAGCAATTTTGGAAACAAGTAAATTTCGGTAGAGGTTAAATCAAATTTTGAATGAGTTTGGAAGCTGAAGGTAACCAGGTGACACGAATGTAGAAAAAAAATCGAATGACAGCCATTTTCGTCATAGATACCTTGGAAATTTAAAATCAATAAAACTGGACAGTTTTGTTGCCAGCACATTGTTTTTTCAATTCACGCTGAATTCTAAGGGAAAATCCCCTCAAGGTATCAACCAATCACGAAACTCGTATTTAAGAGGGACAAAACCCATGGGAAAAACCCGTTGCAACTCTTCACATAATTATATATCAGTGGAGTTGTCTAGAGTGTCATTTGCTCGTTCACTCGAGAGCAAGAGAAGTATTTACGCTACACAAATTTACCAAATCATAATTTATAATTTTAGCTGGTTGGATTGTTTGTGTGCTGGCGGTTTTTTTTCAGAATGGGCAATAATTTCAGCATAGACAGTTTCAAAAATACCTGCACCAAATTGATTGATTGGCTCAAGGAAATAATCGGGAAAACAAAAGATGCTATTTTTAAGTGCGCACTCGCTGTTTTCCGATCGATGCGGGATGCAGTATTGTATGCCTTTGAAACCCTTGGGACGAGGAAAAAGAGGGCGGAAGCCGCCTATACTGTTTCTCTCCAGGTACTTAATCAAGCAACGTAACTTAATGCAAAAAAACAAATGCTAATGATAATCTTTATTTGAGGCTACGGGAGAAATAAGACGTACTTCAATCCAACAACAGGCAGCTGAAGAGTCCTTTGAAGAGAACTCATTACAAGCCACTGTGAAAAAGGAAAGTCGTACTTCAATCCAACAACAAGCAGCTGAAGAGTCCTATGAAGAGATAAACCCATCACAGGCCACCGCTGTGAAAAAAGAAGGTAAGTAACTACGGTGCACTTCAATGCAAAACATTACACTACATTACGCCACACTACACTACACTACACCAAAAT